TTATATTTGTGTAATAAAATCAGTAATCATCTACTATAACAAATAATTCGTTAACGCTATAACGAAGATTCTTATAACGAAGTCCTGATCGGCTGGAGCGGCAACTTCATTATATCGAGGTGTGACTGTAACCCTAAATATTCCTGATATTGTACTAGCTACTCTAAAACTAAAGTAGAAACAGGAGTAGGGGAACCTCGACCTTTTGTCTCAATGGAAAAGAATCCAATACGAGCAAAAGAGTTTCTTACTTGGATTCAGAAAGCAATACCAGAAAAATTTCCCTTCTTACGAAAAAACAAAAGCGATATAGTTAATGTAAATCCAATTAATCTTATTTTAGCTAAACATGGAATTACTTCGAATAAATTGAGGAAGATAGGAGCAGATCATGCTAGCAGGATTTATGGAGGTAGGAACGATTCTCACTACCAATATTTACGAAAGTTGGCTTGCAGACAAGTAGTAGGTCATCATAAATCAGTAGAAAGTTATGGCGTAATGAATGACCTACTTCTCGTAATTGTTCGAAAGTATTTCTAAAGGACCAGGTAAAGATAAAAGGAAAAGTGGATTAATCCTGATAATGATTTGTAAATGTCTGTCTGATCAGGCAAACCCATTCAAGTTCTTCGATAACAACTAGCCACATATAAGGGTTAGAGGTCAGGATATCATTTATTAATTTATTTTTTCACTCAAGGTAAGATATAGCATATATAATATATCACGAAAATGGTAACCGATTAAAAGCATTCATCTAATAGTACAGATATTGAGAAGGAAGTTATCAGACGTACAGAGAAAATAGCCAAATTACTTAGACCTGAACAAGATACAAATATGTATAGTATGCTTTTCATTGAAAATAGGATACTAAAGAAACAATTGGAAGATTATCATTCCCAACCTAACACTTTAAAAAAGAGGGTAAAAAGATTGGAGAAAGATGTGAGATCCTTAAAAGACGAATTAAAAGTTCTAGACAAGTATGTGGATAGGAAGACTGTGGTCGACTTAATACAAGAAATAGTTTTCTCACCAAAGATTAAAAAATGTAAGGTTCCTCCTATTCATCTGAGTCTTCCAGAGATTCTGATTCAGTTGAGATAAATCAGATAAGAGATAAAAAGACTGTTTCTCATAAGTACCAAAGAAAAGTACGATGAAGAAAGGTTAAATGGTTTGTAGTGATGAATTAGCCAATCAGACTGAGTGGAGATATACACTATCATTCTAGAACACCAGATTGGTCAGGTCCTAGTTTAAATGTGAAAGGTTCTTGGTTCTGAGTAAGTGGTGCAACTTTGGATATATGCGATTAAAAACTATTATTAGACGATAATTTTGCGATCCTATTCAAAGAAGTAAACTATATTTCGACATTGTCTGATAGTCAGATCCAAGCTATGACTGATTTTTCCAACCAATAGTCCAGAGCAGTGATCATCAACTCAGAAGATTTTTTCTTATTGAAAGATATTCTAACCATATAAAAATGCATACAGTTAATTTACTAGAACAACTTCTGCCAGAACTAATACCATTCATTCTAAAGTATCTTCCAGAATAGAACCTAAAAAATTCTCGCAGTATAAATGATATATGGGAAATAGTGGCGAATCTTGAATGGTCCAAAAGAATGAATTTTTTATTTGGAAGAATAGTTCAAGGCAATTATACAGTAAAGGAATATTATTCGAAACTGAAAGAGTGTAATTTAAGCAAGGAATATCATGAAGAACTTCTTAAAAATATATTCTTCAGAGGATTATCATCTGACAATACATTTAAAGTTTTTATAGATGGTTTACAGGATCTTGCGTTAGATGAGATAGTGAAAAAGCTTAGTTTAGAGTAGTGATTATGCGAAGCGCCTTTAGTCTTGCTCAAAAGATATTTTTGATTAAAGATACAACATAAAATACAGACTATTTATGGTGCAATCAAGAATTTTTATTATACCAGAATTATTAGAACAGTTTTTACATTTCTTAGCGATAGATAAATCTCTCTATCCCACTCTATATGTTTCCTGATTGTGATACAGATGCGGTGTCCCTATCCTATGGAAGCATATTGAGCTAAAGGGAAAAGACTTATATCCTAGGCAATCTCTTCCAAATGATTATAATTACTGTGCAAAGATCGTCCTCGATTTAATAAATTCATAAGGATAGAACGTACAAAGGATTTCTCATAATTGAAAAATTCATAAAGCTAGTACGTAGAAAGCAAACACCAGTTTATTGCTCAAATGTAACTCATCTTGAAATATCATACTACTATTCACTTTCAGATAAAAAAATCATAAGCATTGTACATTCATGTCCAAATATAACCCATTTGAGTTTCATAAATAGCATGGGATTCAGTAATAGAGCATTAAACCTGATAGCAGGTTCATACCTGAATCTGAAGTATCTCAATCTATGTGGTGATCAGTCAGGTGGCATTAGGTGTTTTCGTGGTTAAGAAGTTGATGATGGAGGTCTATAGAGAATTGCAAAGTCATGCCATAAATTAGAATATTTAAATATTGCCTATCGCACAAAGATTACTGAACATTCAATTTGCGGTATTATTCGTTCCTCTCTAAAGCTCCAGCATCTTAACATTACCTTTTGTAAAATTACTGATATAACAATCAAAGAAATTGCTAGTTTGTGTCTTAATTTAAAGTATCTCAATTTGAAAGGGTGTGATAATATTAGCAAAGAAGCCGTAGATCAGCTAAATCCAAATACCCATGTCGAGAATTTCCAGAATCCAAATGATATTCAAGCTGAGATAGAGCGAGTGGTAGAGATAATACCAATACATCCTTTAGTTGCTATTAGCACTCAGTTTCACTTGTCATTTCGATAATTTAATTCCAGTATGTTTATGATAGTTGATTCTGGTGCTGATCACTCCATTATAGCTATAAACAGAGAAACACCAAGGAATTATTTTGATAGAATACTAGCCGATCGAGCCAGAATAGTGAAACTCTACTGATCTAACTAATTTGGATCAGTGATCACGTAATTTTCCTGAAGGTGCTTTGCTATTTTTTCGATTAAAGATACAGCATATACTATTTATGACGCATTCAAGTATTTTTATTATACCAGAACTATTAGAGCAGATTCTATGTTTCCTAGCAGTAGATAAGACATTGTATCCTACTCTATTTGTTTCCCGATTGTGATACAGATGCAGTGTTTTTATTCTATGGAAACACATTGAGCTAAAGGGAATGATCTAAGATATGGGCATTATTTTCCAGAAGATTATAATTATTGTGCAAGAGATCGTACTCAATGGGAAAGATTTGTAAAAGTAATGTAATAAAAGCATAAGCCAGCTTATGTCTCAAATACAACTCATCTAGAAATTACTTTTTACCATTCACTTTCAGATAAAAAAATA